AGCAACAGTGTTCTCTTTAAGATTATATTACTGGATTCCACTTCAGTCACAGCCTTTCCCTTCACCCTCAGAAATGAGACTGGAACTGCTACAGTCTGAGTAAATGGTTTTCCTCCACACAGATCTCTCAAGTTCAAATGGTACTTTCCACTGCAACCTGCTATTCGTTTGTTCCTCCACCTCCTACCAAACCATCACTACTACAGGTTCCCAAGTCATGCACTGGTATGTCTAGAAAATGAGGCAGTCCTCACCAGCAGGACAACTCAAACAGGCTAAATAGTTTCTGATCGATTAGAGACAACCTGAGCATCTCTGTGAAAGGAGGTGACATGACTGAGCACACCAAGCGATCTAGGCTCTCGGAGCAGCTATACAGCAATGCCAGTCACAACTGAGCATCTCAGCTGAGCTCCAGAAGATGCTTCAGAAGCTGAAGGAGCATTTGACTGCACTTCCCTTCTGCAATTTGTCTCGGTAAGTCATGCAATCATAGGATCATAGAAGGGTTTGGGTTGGAAAGGACCTTAAGATCATCCAGTTCCAGCCCCCTGCCATTGGCAGGGACACCTCACACTAGACCAAGGCTCTGTCTCACCTGACCATGAACACTACCAGGAATGGAGCAGCCACAGCTTCTCTGGGCACCCTGTGCCAGCGCCTCAGCATCCTCACAGTAAAGGACTTCTTCCTTAGATCTAACCTGAACTTCCCATTTCAGTTTGAACCCATCATCCCTTGTCCTATCACTACAGTCCCTGATGAAGAGTCCCTCCACAGCATCCTTGTAGCCCCCTTCAGACACTGGAAGCTACTCTGAGGTCTCCATGCAGCTTCTCTTCTCCAGGCTCAACAGCCCCAACTTTCTCAGCCTGTCTTCAAAACAGATCTCATTTACAGAGTCAGAATGCAGTCTTTACCTCTTGTGGCCAATTATACAGCACTGGCTATCAATCTCTTTCTCTGATTATGCCTGTAAGCCTGGGCTTATCTAACCCGACTTCACTGAGGTCACAAGCACCTCACACGGGAACTCACAGACCTTCTCAAGATAAGAAACTTTTACTTATTGGTTTTACTAAATCTGTAATTGAGATCTTTTTTAAAAGACAATTTTCCATATTACTTCAAATTAAAATAAAAATGCATTTTGTAATAGCATTAACATAAATTTGGGCTGTTTTCATACACTAAGAAGAACAAAGCAAGCTATTAGCTAAAACACTTTTTACTGATTGAGGCAACAATTGCATTAACATGAAAGCATGCCAGAAAACATGTACAAATAGCAGTGCAAAGAAAAGATAACACTTTTTAGGAGTAATTTTTATTACTCCAATGTAAGAAAAAAGCTCCTGAAAGCACTTCGTAATATGTACACAGCCACTTCAATATCACAGAACCATAGAATGGTTTGGGTTGGAAGAGACCTTAAAGCTCCTCCAGCTCCAACCCCTGCCACTGGCAGGGACCCCTTCCACTAGAGCAGCTTGCTCCAAGCCCCTGTGTCCAACCTGGCCTTGAACACTGCTAGGGATGGGGCAGCCACAGCTTCTCTGGGCACCCTGTGCCAGCGCCTCAGCACCCTCACAGGGAAGAGCTTCTGCCTAAGAGCTCATCTCAGTCTCCCCTCTGGCAGGTTAAAGCCATTCCCCTTGGCCTTTCTCAACAAGCCTTTGCCCAAAGCCTCTCTTCTAGGTTTCCTGTAGCCCCTTAGGCACTGGGAGATGCTCTAAGGTTATTTTCAAGTTCATTCTTATTGTCTGACTGCATTAAAACATTAACAACTGTATTTGGTATAGTTCTGACAACCAGACAATTTTCTGTTTCTGGAAGCCATTCCCACTGCAACTGGGAAGTCCATAAAAGGAGAACTGTCAAGTTATAAAACTGGCATGCACCAGGAGAGCTGCAAAGCTTAACTTCTCAACCATTCCAAATTTCATCTGTCTCTGCCTGTTTCAGTTCAAACTCCCACAATTAAAAGCACTGTTTTTAGTGCTATCTCAAAACAGAATCATAGAATGGCTTGGGTTGGAAAGGATTTTAAGAGCATCCAGTTCCAACCTGCCATGGGCAGGGACACCTCGCACTAAACCATGTCACCCAAGGCTGTGTCCAACCTGGCAGATCAGAAGTGCTGTCAAATTTTCCTGTGTCTTAAGACAATGCCACTCACTGGAAGTGCAAAAATCAGAGAAAAGAACTGCCAAAACGAAAAGGTACCTTACAAAGGAATACGCATTCTCGGAGAGGCACAGCTTTACTAAGAAACCCAATACTATGTAAAAAGCAATTCACATTTTATTTTCAATTGCAATAAACTGTACAAAAATGTTTCATTCTTGCCAAAAATAACAGCAATATTTTCAATCTTACATCTAGACAAACAACAAATGCTGATTTTAATCCTTCCTGGGTGAGTTTACAAATAAGCAGACGAGAAGATGTACAGGTTTGTGTCAGAGTCGGGACAGAACAGATTGAATGGAATCAATGTTGAGTTTTTAGTGTCTTTTGGGAATTCCCATACTCCTGCCATGCCTGTTAAAAGCCTAAAAGAACCAAAAGGTTTGTCTCTCACACAAAGGAATGTAAACAGTCATTAAGAGATTTAAGAGGTTGAGTCTTCCAAGGAAACCATAAACGTACCTCTATGCCACTAACATTCTCTTTACACTGAGAGCAGTGCACAGCACTGGGATTGTGCCATAGCTGAATCCACTCTCCAAAATTACATTTAAATATACATCAAAGACTTCTTTTTAAAAAGGTTTCCAAGAGAATAAAAGCCTAAAGTAACAGATCTGAAATGGTCAATACTCTTTTTAGCATTTTGGGGGTGGTTTTTTTCTTATCCTAACTCATGAGCAAATATGTAGCAGCCCCATCAGACCTACCACCACAATGCAATTTCCAAGATGCAATACATGAGCACCTAGTTAACCAGCACCTTTGCCAAGAGCATGGCTTTGTTTTCAGGCTTCATTTTGTTTGCACAGCACATTTAATGCAGACTAACAAACCATAATCTGGGTCACTGACCGACTGCTTCAGTCTAAGACCTAAAATGGAAACACAGTTGCAGTGATTTGAGATTTCAGTTTTTTTTTTTCCTCAGAGTTGAAGCTTAATTAAAAGCTGTTTCAACAGCTTGGGTAGAGCTTAAAAAATTAAGCATCGCCTGTTACTTCAGTGTTGTTTGAGGGAGTAAAGTCTTCTTGAAACTCCGCTTTATAGGGATAGAGTTTAATGTAGGTGTCCACCATTAAATCTAAGTCATGTTTTATGTCAAAGTTTATGTTCAGCAAAGCTAAGTTGCTTGACCTTTGTGTTGTCAAGGTGTTTTTCAGGTAGGCCTTTAAGCGCTTTCGTCCTATTTCGTACTTCTCATTCTCCACCTTCATCACCGGAAGTATGCACAAGACTTTAAGCAACGCATAAACGTTAGGGAAAAACTTGATGTCAGGCAAGTGAAGTGATTCATAAATAGTAGATGGGAGTTCAATGTCTTTTCCTCTGTGCTTCCACTTGATTCTCCAACAGTGAAGCTCAGCAGAAAGCGTGTCTGGATTAGGCAAGTCATTTTTGTACATGTCAGCGTGATGCTCCTCAGATGTGTTGAATTTGAGCTGCCCCATGACTGAGGGCACCAATGACAGACACTTAAGAGCTTTTAAATGTTGTTCTGAGAATATATCTTTTAATTCTTGAATAATATGCTCCATTGTGGGGATACTAAGGATTTCTTTGTAGTAGTTTTCTGACGTTACCTCGGCGCCGAAGTTCCCCTGTTGTGCCCGACGAAACTTTCCTGGGAGTTTAATTTGTACATCCAGTTTTGTAGCCAGATTTGTTGCTTCCTCAAACCAGAATTCGTGGTAAACTTCGATATTCTCCATCACTTCATTCAGAGAATGCAACACTGCTGTCAAGCTGCTGGCTGCAAAGAACACATCTGATGTTTGGCCTTGGAGATTTTTCCCGAATGCTCTTGTAAAAGAGAGGATGTTTTTCAGAATGACAACAGTGACGATGAAGTCAAAATCTGTTAAAGCACTTGAAAGTACAAATGCTCGACCAGCAAAGCAGGTGTTCCACCTGACAGATGAGTCACTGCTTACCGCATCCAAGCACAGTACCAATGCTTGCAGGAGGTCCACTAAAACTTCAAACAGATCATGCCTGCCTGTCCACTGGGAATGGCAGATCTCCTTCAAATCGTTACCCCTGTCCTTGTTGTTCTGAAAAAGAACAGAAATTGTGTTGTCCAGTTCTAACAGTAATTGTGGAGACTGGCTGAAAAGACAGCAAACCTCTTCCATTGTTCCTAACGCAATGGAAACACTAACAACAGGAACGGATTTTGCCAGCCAAACATTTAAGGCACACGAGGAACACAATGTATACACAGCTTGTGGATACTTTTCCAAGAGTCTCTTAGCCACAACTTTCATTTTAGAAGCAAACACACTGGAGACGATGTAGGCTTGGCCTCGACAGTACTCCATGTTTAGACCCCACTTCTCAGTAATAGTCGTGTGGAACTTGACAGCCAAAATTTCAGGGTCAGCTTCATACGGTAAAAACCCGATGAATTCTTCTCTTAGATTATGAGAATCGTCAACAAATCTCACCAACACAGGCAAATGTTCCTCTCCTGCTATGTCTACTACTTCATCGGTGACAATAGAAAAGAAATGCGAGTCCCTTACTTCCCTCAGTGTCTCTTCTCTAACACAATTTTCACAGATCTCAAGCATTTGTTTCTGCTGAGTTTTTGAACAATACTCAAGGTTGACCGCAGTCATCTCAAACCGCTTCCTCAGAACTTCATCTCCAGCATTTATTCTATATTCCAGTAGAGCCTGAAAGTTATCGGAAGCAAAAACACCTTCTGGAAGCTCATCAACATTATGGCCATCCAAAGGAATATTTTGTTTACCCATTAGGATCAGTATTTCAAACAAAGATTTAAGGTAATCTTTGTTTTCTCTTTCTTCCAGTGTTAAGGGGACAGCTTCTTCCTCTTGTTCTTCCCCTCCTTCCTCGGGGACAGCATTTTGTTCATTGTTTTCATTCAACTCTCGAGTTGCCTGTTCCCGTTCAAAAGGTTCATCAACTACAAAACGTAAAACACTGTGTCAAAATAACAGGAATAAAACATAACATTTGCTTTCCCTTACTATCCCCATTTGCTTTATGTTACTCGAGTTTAAAGACTAATACTTCCAGTTTAAAAGTGAATAGGTATTTCAGAAAGAGTTTGACTGTTTGAATCAGGCAGGAACTTAATTATCCTCCTGATATATATAAACTTACAGTTGTGGGTCCTGCATTACCTGGTCAGCCTTAGTGAAAAAGGTTTGTATGAACTCAATTATTTGGGCCACTTACTCTTCTGTTGCTTCAGTGTTCTTATTTCATCTTCAGTCTTTAAAAAACAAAACAGAACTTGTATTGATGATAATGGCTAGCACATGAGCTTAAAATATTAAAACACATCAAGATATGATATAAATATTGTAGATGAGACCATTTTAAAAGTGTTAATATATACCAATGAGTGCTAGAAGGTTGAAGAGAAGAAGGTTCCTTCAGGCAGTTTATTGCTGCCTTGACATGTATTTGCAAACTCAATGAGAGCAGTTTGCTACTACTACTAAGATTCCCATGCTTCTATTAGGAGTTTGTTCAATATGTACTATATAATTATTAGGAAATACACTCCATTAAAGAAAGCTGTTTCAATATGAACGTGCACTGTCAGGATACAGAAATATCTTTAGCTCTATTTTCAGTCAATAAACACACTGAATCAAATTTACAGAATGCTTTGAGTTAGAAGGGACCTTAAAGCTCATCCAGTTCCAACCCCCTGCCATGGGCAGGGACACAGAATCACAGAATCCTAAGGGTTGGAAGGGACCTCAAAAGATCATCTAGTCCAACCCTCCTGCAAGAGCAGGGTAACCTAGAGTACATCACACAGGAACTTGTCCAGGCGGACCTTGAATATCTCCAACGTAGGAGACTCCACAACCCCCCTGGGCAACCTGTTCCAGTGATCTGTCACTCTCACAGTAAAGAAATTTTTCCTGATGTTCACATGGAACCTCCTAGGCTCCAGTTTACACCCACTGCCCCCAGTCCTATCACTGGACATCACTGAAAAAAACCTAGCTCCATCACCCTGACACTCACCCTTTACATATTTGTAAACATTGATGAGGCCACCCCTCAGTCTCCTCCAAGCTAAAGAGTCCCAGCTCCCTCAGCCTCTCCTCATAAGGGAGATGTTCCATTCCCTTAATCATCTTTGTAGCTCTGCGCTGGACTCTTTCAAGCAATTCCCTGTCCTTCTTGAACTGTGGGGCCCAGAACTGGACCCCTTCCACTAGAGCAGCTTGCTCCAAGCCCCTGTGTCCAACCTGGCCCTGAACACTGCCAGGGATGGGGCAGCCACAGCTTCTCTGGGCACCCTGTGCCAGCGCCTCAGTACCCTCACAGGGAAGAGCTTCTGCCTAAGAGCTCATCTCAGTCTCCCCTCGGGCAGGTTCAAGCCATTCCCCTTGGCCTGGCCCTACAGGCCCTTGTTCAAATCCCCCCCTCCAGCTTTCTTATAGCCCCTTTAGGCACTTGGAGCTCCCCTAAGGTCTCCCCTTAAGGAGCCTTCTCTTCTCCAAGCTGAACAAGCCCAGCTCTCTCAGCCTGGCTCCATAGAAAAGGAGCTCCAGCCCTCTTGATCTTTGCGGCCTTCCCTGGACTCACTGAAAAAGGTCCATATCCTTCTTATGTTGGGAGCTCCAGATTCATGAAGAAATATCTAGAAGTTGTCTGTAACTTTCCAACATATAAGCAGAATTTAGGAGTTGAATTCCTCTTAATTGTCAGTATACTTATAACCACAGAGACCTAGAGACACTTTGTCTATAAATGACACAAAAGAGGTATTGACAAAACATAGTTCCACAAGAAACTTCTTGATCTTGATTTTCCACATGGATCATCTTCTCAGTAAATAAGCTAAAACAAATATATCTGAAATGGTACAGACATAATGGGTAAACTGAAGATCACAATCAATATGTAGCAAGAATTTCAGGGTACCAAGTTGTATTCAGAGCTGTAATAACAAGCAAAAGGAAGCTATGCGCATTCTATGGAAGACAGAATGAGCTCTGGATAAACATATTTCATTTTCCAGATTATTTCATTAAACCTTTCTTTGTAGATAAAATTTGTAACAGCATAATATTTGGGTATTTAATTTATAACCAGCAAAAAGATATTAGAATAGGCAGTCCAGAAAATGCACTCAAGTGCTAACATGGCAGGGGGTTGGAACTGGATGATCTTAAGGTCCTTTCTAACCCAAACCAGTCTGTGATTCTATGATATTCTTTAACACTTCTGTGTAACAGTTTCACATGAATTTACTTGTCTTTATTGTTTTAATATTAAAAATAATAATAATTATAAATCTTACATGAAAAACTTACCAGCTCTTTTATCCTTTTCCTGTGTCTGCTGTGGGGATTGTTCAGGTGACTTGTGAGATCAAATATGGTTGGCACAGCGTTATCCCGTAAAACCGTTCTGTAAGGGCTCTGTAAGAAGAGAGATGTCCAGATTAGGAATTTCTTTGGGAAATTCTTACTGTGTGAACACAGAATAACTCCAGAATTTCAGGTGCTGTGCCCTTTTTTTCCTCTTTTTAAAGTATTTTCACTTTCTGATGTTCCAAGATACACAGAAAGCTGTGCTATACAGTTCACATTTTTGGAATAGGACAAGGGGAAATGGGTTTAAACTGAAGCAGAGGAAGTTCAGGTTAGATATAAGGAAGAAGTTCTTCCCTGTCAGGGTGGTGAGGCCCTGGCACAGGTTGCCCAAAGAAGTGGTAAATGCTCCATCCCTGGCAGTGCTCAAGACCAGGCTGGACAGAGCCTTGGGCCGCATGGTCTAGTGGGAGGCATCCCTGCCGGTGGAAGGGAATTGGAACTGGATGATCTTAAGGTCCTTTCCAACCCAAACCATTCTATGATTCTGTGACATCAAGAGAACACTGGAAATGAGAAGAGATATACTAAAGAAAACCCCAACCCAAACCACAAACACCTTTTCCTCCACATTATCTTCACATCCTAGACCCCAGATGCATTAATTTTAACTGGCTGCAACAGTATGATTTCGTTAAAACTAAACATTCTGAATAAAAAAATACTTATGTATCAGAAAGAAAGCATTTAGTTACTGTTGTGCTTTGCTTTTTATCACTTACTGAACAAAACACTACTGTGGAAGATCATACTGAAGGAAAATTTACCTGTCAAATGAGCAGGAAGAAGAAAAGACTCCTGGATGGCCATGTAAAGGTTTCTAGCAGTTAAATAATAATACTTTAAGTAAAAATTTATATTTTGGATATACTGTAAATGTATGGTGTCTAAACTGGCTGATTTCAGCAAGTACAAAAAATTTAACTGATGACATATCCACCTGGCATTAGGCTGAAGCACATTTTAAATAAGCAGGGTTTCATTAGGCTTCATTTCATATTAACTACTTCCGTTTTTCATGTGCTTGTTTCTGTGGTGCTGACTAATGAGACACCCTATCACATCTAATACCACCAGGAGCTCAGAGTCTAACCTGTGTATTTGAATTATCCTTTGGAACTAAAGGACAGATTTTGCCGAAGTATCAAGAGTGAAATTCAGCTGTTGAAACCAACAAGAAGAACTGAAAGCTATAATTTCATCAACAGGAAACAGTGCCATGATTTTAGCTGTATAAAATATAACAGGAACCAAAAGCTTGACAGATGTAAAGAATGTTTAAAGCTCTTGGCCACAACAGAGTGTAACTTTACCAAGAAACGCTGTGTACACACTGCAGTAACACCAGTTATCTAAACTTAGATACTTACATATAATAAATTTATGTAATAAAATGAGCACTCCTTAACATGAAGAAAGACCTGTAGTGAAGACCAGTGCCCCACAAACATATTAAAACAGCAGAAGCAGCCCTCCTTTTCTCTCTGTTCATATACCACCTCTTCCTTTGTGCCAACAAAAGGATGTGTGGTGCCTTGGACCATGACAAGGATCCCAGTTAAGACTAAGGGACTGATCTCCCCAGGGACCAGTTACTCAGGGAGTCAAAGTTTAGAATGAGCATTCTGATGAAAATCATCAGTCACACTTTGCAAGATGCCACAAACAAGAGCTTGTTTTTACTTACACTTCTGCATATCATAGAAGTCTCAAAATGTTTAGCACACAACCTGTAATGCTTGTTGAGTTGATCTGGAGTTTTATCTTCTAAATCTGCCCTTCGACAGTTCTCTACCCATCTTTGACACCTGCACGTAAGCAAAAGAATTAGCTTGTTTTAAGATAAAACAAAAGCCTCCACGACTTCAAACTGTACTCAGAACTGGAGTGAGGTGAACCCTGCCCTTCACAGGACAGTTCTGTATACCTTCTGTCATAACATACCAGCAAATCTATTAGAAAGCTGGTTTTCTCCTTTTGCTCACCACTTAATGCCACCCCAGCAAATTAAGGAATCTTTTCCCTTAATCTAGATATTCAGGTTAGATACAAGGGAGAAGTTCTTTACTGTGAGGGTGGTGAGGTGCTGGCACAGGATGCCCAGGGAAGTGGTGAATGCTCCATCCCTGGCAGTGTTCAAGGCCAGGCTGGACAGAACCTTGGCTGACAGGGTCTATTGCGAGGCATCTCTGCCCACAGCAGGAGGGTTGGAACTGGATGATCTTAAGGTCCCTTCCAACCCAAACTATTCTATGATTCTAGGATACTATATTCCTGCCTTTGTCTCACACAGACTGTTCATGAAACCTGTCCATTTAATTCTCACGAATTCAATCCTTAAAGAAAAAGCTAAAAGAGAAAGATGATCTTGTAGACTGAAGTCATAAAGTTTTCAAAGGCAGCTATTAAAATTGTTGTCTTCTCCACCTCCCTCCAAAATACAGCATTTATCATTTATTGTGGTCACTGGGGAGTTCAGAGTAGATTTTTAAACAGTGAAATTTGAAATTTTAATAAAAATAAAAGAGATGGCTGCATGGAAACCTCACAGTACCCTTCCAATATCTGAAAGGGGCCTAGGACGATGCTGGAAAGGGACTCTTCATCCGAGACTGTAGCAATAGGACAAGGGGCAATGGGTTCAAACTGAAACAGGGGAAGTTCAGGTTAGATATAAGGAAGTTCTTCCCTGTGAGGGTGGTGAAGCCACGGGACAGGTTGCCCAGAGAAGTGGTAAATGCTCCATCCCTGGCAGTGTTCAGGGCCAGGCTGGACAGAACCTTGGGTGCCATGGTTTAGTGTGAGGTGTCCCTGCTCATGGCAGGGGGTGGGAACTGGGTGATCTTAAGGTCCTTTACAACCAAAACCACTCTGTGATTCTACAGAC